GTAAAACTTATTACATTTTCAAAGACTTTAGTTTACACATACACAACTGAATAGAACTTACACATCTCTGATTTGTTTATATCTACATTTGAGTGAGGTGGATAGGGTGAGGTGGTATTAATAGGGTATTAAATTCATCAACACAAGACAGAACACGAAACAATGGGTATTGAATAGAAGTGATTGTAGAAAGCCTATTGGTCCATATTTCTAGATGCTCCTATATTGGAGCGGAGTCTTGAGGTGGGTAGAATATAGTTGTGCATTAATTGGCTGTTGATTGCTGGTGTTGACTTCTTAATGTGTAGTGCCTCGCAAACGTCAAGTCGCCTGCTATCGCTGTATCTATCGATGATTTCTGTGTTGTTTACTAGGATTTCTCTGGCGATGGTTTGGTTATGGGAAGAGATTATATGTTCCTTAATGGAGCCCTGTTGCTTATGCATCGTTAAACGCCTAGAAAGAGATGTTGTTGTCTTGCCTATATACTGGGTTTTTTGGAGCTTACAGTCCCCAAGAGGGCATTTGAAGGCATAGACGACGTTGGTCTCTTTTAAAGCGTTCTGCTTTGTGTCTGGAGAGTTTCTCATGAGTAGGCTGGCCGTTTTTTTGGTTGTATAGTAATAGGTCATAGGTCGCATAAATACATCTCCGTCGGCTTCGGCTTGATTTTGATAAGAACTCGGAGGTCTTCTAGGTTGTGTAGAATATGATCAGATCTATGTTTTGGTTCGGAGTAATGCTTTTTACTCCTTTACGGATTATTTCTTTCTTTATTCTTTCCTCATTTTTATGTTCACTGTGCATGGTTGATTTGTAATATAATTGTATTGGAGGTATTGTCGTTTCTGCTCTAGGTTCAGGATTATACCATCGAACCAAATGTCTTCTTATAGCGGCGTTTATTTTCGTGTTGCTATATCCGTTGTTCACCAAAACCTGTGTTATTCTTTCAAACTCTCTACTCACGTTGCTCCATTCGGAGCAGTGGGTAAGCGCTCGACGAATATAAGCACTGAGAACACTTGCTTTGTATCTTTGGGGGAACTCACTTTTACCGTTCAGGCATAATCTTATGTTGGTGGGCTTCGTATATACGTTGGTGCTTATAAAGGTTCCTGTTTTTATTATTAGTACATCCAAGAATGGCAGACTGTTATTTTCACTATTTTCATGGGTAAATCAGAGTACTGACTCTCTCTAGATGGCTTTTTAGATCAATTAGTTCGTCTGAGTCTTTTATTATGACGAATATGTCATCTTCATAAAGGCAATATACAGTTGGTTTTTGTCTGCTACTGAAGACTCTGTCTTCGATGGTTCCCATATAAAAATGAGCAAATAACACCTCTAAGGGGGAACCCATTGCTACTCCGTCTATTTGTAGATACATGTCTCCTTGTGGCCTGATGAAAGGGGCTTTCTTTGTAAATGCCTCGAGAAGACTCTTCAAGTGTGGCTCAGGTATGTCTAATTTGGGGGTGCTCTCGTCTCTGTATACTTTGTCCAATAACATTTCTATGTTTGTGTCGACTGGGACGTTGGTAAATAGGGTTTCGCCGTCCAGGGAAGAAATGATTCCATCGGGCTGAGTAGTTTTGATTAATTCTAGGAAATCTGCTGATTTCCTAGAAATTCTGTTGGATTCTGTTGGCCGCTTCATCTGCTTCCACAACAGTTTCGACGGACTTGTATGTGACTGTCTTGCTTTGAATGTTAGATTGAATAATATTGTTAAGGTCGTAATCGCTTTGTTCTTGGCCACAAGAATAGCTCGTTCACTCAGCAAATCGTGATTCTTAAAATTGGTTTCAATATTGGGAAATACTTTTTCAACCAATTCTTCTTTTGACGTCACAAATTTGCAGAAGTTATGAGGTAATGAAATTCGTCCTGAGGTCAGATCAACCGGCCCGTTTACGTTCCCAATTTCTAGAAATTTATGTGCTAATATTTCAGCTGATGGATCATTTTGCAGTAGCTACATAACTACACGTATATTTGTGGTTAATTTAGATGTCTTTACGTGGCGCCACAAAGTAGAGTATTTCAGGCAAGCATTTATTTCGCCAGCTGGTGTCGATCGAGGAATTATAGGTAATGTTTGGATGAAATCTCCTGCAAGCAATATTAATGCGTTCCCAAATGGTCTGATGTTTCCACGCAAATCTTCCAATGATCGATCAAGTGCCTCGGACGATTTTTTGTGGGGCATTGTGCATTCATCCCAAACAATAATTACACACAGAAATCACAATTACGTGATGCGTCAAATGAACAAATCGACATAGCTTATTGACATAGCTCGAGTGCATGGGGAAAATTGTGTAAAACCCTGGGTTGTGCCTCGGAGAGGCTACAGGTTCCAGTAAGTTCAGTAGAACTTCGGTTTCAACTCCTTTTGACCATGTCGTAGCTCAGTCGATTAAGGCAGCGTCTGGGATGCTCTCGGACACAGGCTTGAATCCTCGTCACGGTCCTTGTGGATTTTCCAAAACAATAAGTTTGCATTTTTGCAATACTTTTCCAATGCCGGATGCATTGGAAATGTTGCACGTGGGAGTTTCAATGAATTGCATGTTCAATGGCGATTTCAAACCAGCAGTTCTTCCACCTGGTAGCAATGTCACAGCAATTCCAGACGATGCAAGAGCTAAGGTTATGCCATTTTGGGATTGAAAGGCTGCCAGAATCATTTTAATTAGAAAGGTTTTACCTGTTCCTCCTGGCGCATCTAAGAAGATTTCTTCAAGCCCGTTATTGACAGTTTGAATTATTAGATTGTTAATGTCTTTTCGCTCTAGCGTTAGCCTAGGAGTATTTGATTAAACATACGACAACAGATCACCCGTTTTGTAATTTTGTTTACGACTCAATTCTACATTGAACGAAACAGAAGCAGATCGATTCGATGATGGCATTTCCAATTGATTGAGAACTTCGTTCGCGATTTCTAAGCACAATTATTCAATCATTATGAAGGCTTCGTTGAAGATTTTTGCTGTAAAATCCATGTTCATATTTGAATTTTCTTTGCGAATTCGACGGATAATATCTTCAGCCATGTGCGGTTTATGATTATCTCATAACTCTGTTGGAGGTAACGGAGAGCCGGTGGGCAAAATGATTGCAAACAATGCACGAATTTGATTTGGATGTGATGTGTTGGACACGTCATTAATGCATACATCCCAGTGCCGATTGTTCTCCAATAAATTCTGAGCTTGACATGCACTACGGTAAGTGGCATGTTACGGTAATCATGCCACTTGACAAATCTCAATTGACGCCGTTGACAAATCTCCATTGCTGGAAAGACGTTGAACCGGCACATTTACCAACAGCATACGAAGAAAGAAGCATTCATCTTGATTAGGATGCACGGTGTACAGTCTGCCTATCGTAGTTTATTTGAATATGCCAAGTTTTCCGTCGACTCGCTCTTCTCGTTTGCGTCGTTCAAATGATTTTCTACTGGCATTCCACGTGTAATACGTAGGCACTTCTGAATACAGCATTATTTTCGCAAACACGTCATTTTGACATAACGTGAAGAAAGCAGTTAACGCTGTAGCCGGTGGATTCATAGCTGTTTGTTGCACATTTCCAGCTGTGAAATAAACGTGTTGTCCATTTTCAAAACGAAAACAAAAAATACTAACAAAATATTTTAATTCAATTGCAGAGCAATCGACACAGCTCAATTTCACCGCCAATTGCACTGAAAAATAATAAGAACAATTAAAAAAAAAACGAACAGAAAAAGAATGAAAAAAGAAACAGATAAACTATACCCACGAAATGAACGGAATGGTAAACTACACAGCTCAATTCCAATGCAATGTCACACAAAATTTTTAAATCAAAATGAAAATAAATCAAAATCTTTGAAAATTAAATTCATCAATGCAATTGGAAACATTGTAATGGAATCGTAACATATTTTGTATAGTTTGTGTTGGTCTTACGTGCAACTGACGGCGATGTTTAAAAAAAGCATGTTTTTACCTGTCACAGGTGTGGCATCAAAATAGTATGTATATAAAAACATGCACGTTTTCCAATGGAACGTTGTGTCAAAATTTCAAAGCAATCGGTGAAGAGCTTTTGGAGAATAAAGCGTGTGTTGCTCCTACGTGCAGTACAATTTAAAGCAATCGGTAAAGAGGTTTCGAAGATTTCCCTCAATGAAAAACAAAGTTTAAAAAAAAACTTTTTTTTCCGTCACAAACGTGATATTGATATAGTAAGTATATAAAAATCTGCTCGGATGCGAATGGAACGTTGTGGAACATTTCAAAGCTATCGGTGAAGAACTTTCGGAGATTAGCGATTTTGAACAAAGTAACATTTCCATTTTTATTTATATTGATATATATATTATTTTTCATATATATAACTTATCCATATATAAAAAAAAATATTTGTATATTTAATTTGGAAAGTACAGCCAGACCCCTTTAATTAATTTTTAATAACTACAATAACATTTACCATAAAAGTTTCACACATAATATTTGTATTATGATACAAATTGACTCGTTGAGGAAGTCTTGACTTCCTTAACGTTGAGGAAGTCTTGACTCGTTGAGGAAGTCATAAAATAAATAAAGAGGGAACGAAAAATCAAGAGAGAAGCTTAAAATATTATAATAAAATTGACAATTGCATTTCTGCTGGTACCCCATCGTATGCAACATATATGCATATTGTCTTTCGATGTTGATAATAAAAGGTGTCTACATTAAATAGAGAAAAAGAGATAAAAACAAAAAAATATCATAATTAATATGCGTTGCCTAATTTGTAATGATGGTAGCAAACATGCAAGAAAGTTTTCATTAATAAAATTATCAAACTCATAAGTATAAGTAGACAGGTGTTTGTGACGGTGATCTCCAGTCGAGTTTTGCAATGACGAAAGATTTTACATTGACTGAATAAAATAAAATACAATGAGTTAAGCAAAGTATTTTTGTAATAAAATTTCTTCCTTAAAGAAAAGGCGCACCTTTTCGCCAACGATTCAATCAACTGATGACTCACTTAGATGCTGCTGGAATTATTACCTACTGGACTAAGACCGTTACAGCCAGTAAAGTGAGAGATGAAAGGCAGGCAGTAAAACAAGATTATAAGCATATCCTCGGAGATACATTAAAGGTAATTTCCATCTAATAATGTCGGTGTCAAGACATGTTGGTCAAATATATTATTAGATCTTCCTCTAACTTTTAATGTGTTTCAGGATGAAGGGCATCAGATGGTGTTGAGTTTAAAACATCTGCAGGGAGCTTTCTACATATTGTTAGTGGGCGGCTGTGTCGCCTTCCTGGCCCTGCTGGGGGAGAACCTCGCCCACTACTGCTCCTCGCCTCAGTAACACCCTCCTCACCCTGCTGGGGGAGAACCTCACCCACTTCTGCTCCTCGCCTCAGTAACACCTTCCTCACCCTGCTGTGGGAGAACCTCGCCCACTTCTGCTCCTCGCCTCAGTAACACCTTCCTCACCCTGCTGTGGGAGAACCTCACCCACTTCTGCTCCTCGCCTCAGTAACACCTTCCTCACCCTGCTGTGGGAGAACCTCACCCACTTCTGCTCCTCGCCTCAGTAACACCTTCCTCGCCCTGCTGTGGGAGAACCTCACCCACTTCTGCTCCTCGCCTCAGTAACACCTTCCTCACCCTGCTGTGGGAGAACCTCACCCACTTCTGCTCCTCGCCTCAGTAACACCTTCCTCACCCTGCTGTGGGAGAAGCTCACCCACTGCTGCTCCTCGCCTCAGTAACACCTTCCTCACCCTGCTGTGGGAGAAGCTCACCCACTTCTGCTCCTCGCCTCAGTAACACCTTCCTCACCCTGCTGGGGGAGAACTTCTGCTCCTCGCCTCGCCCACTGCTGCTCCTCGCCTTCAGTAACACCTTCCTCACCCTGCTGGGGAGAACATCACCCACTGCTGGTCCTCGCCTCAGTAACACCTTCCCCACCCTGCTGGGGGAGAACCTCGCCTCAGTAACACCTTCCTCACCCTGCTGGGGGAAAACATCACCCACTGCTGGTCCTCGCCTCAGTAACACCTTCCTCACCCTGCTGGGGGAGAACCTCGCCCACTTCTGCTCCTCGCCTCAGTAACACCTTCCTCACCCTGCTGGGTGAGAACCTCGCCCACTGCTGCTCCTCGCCTCAGTAACACCTTCCTCACCCTGCTGGGGGAGAACCTCGCCCACTGCTGCTCCTCGCCTTAGTAACACCTTCCTCACCCTGCTGGGGGAGAACATCACCCACTGCTGGTCCTCGCCTCAGTAACACCTTCCCCACCCTGCTGGGGGAGAACCTCGCCTCAGTAACACCTTCCTCACCCTGCTGGGGGAGAACATCACCCACTGCTGGTCCTCGCCTCAATAACACCTTCCTCACCCTGCTGGGGGAGAACCTCACCCTCTGCTGTTCCTCGCCTCAGTAGCACCTTCCTCACCCTGCTGGGGGAGAACCTCACCCATTGCCGCTCCTCGCCTCAGTAACATCATTCCCAGCATAACCAAACACACAAAGAATACCACTCACCTCATTAACAACAGCCCAAACCCAACTGAGAACCCTTTACAGCAGTCGAAGATGGGATATATGCAGATCTGCTCCCATGAAGGATGTATCCCTCAATCTCTAAGTACATAGATATGACGTGGAATAAGCTCACGAGACATTTAGCCTGAAATCTTCAATCAAGTTCCCCGAAAATTCCCATGAGAGAAGCCCCTGACATCACCCTAACATCAGAAATGCTGAATAAAAACACTTGCTTATTAGGTAAAGCCCATGGTGTATAATGATTACAAACAACACAAAAAATATGAACACCCTACCACAGATTTGGAAATAACATAATTATTTACTCTCTCCATTATGAAAATGAGTGTAAGACTGGAACGCGAGAATGCCACTGTTAACACTTCACTATTGCCGCAAACGACATGTCCACTACGGACACCTGAGCCCCAGTTACTTTACCATTTGACTTATGGTTGCATACATAGTTTATAGACCCATCACCTCACTCTACCTATTCTCTTGTTTTTGCCTATCTCCTGACTTAACTAAGTATGTACCTGACCTCCCAGTTTTATAAATCAGGTGGTCCCTCATATATTGTTACGGGCTCACCATAGCCCGCGTTACATGGACATTTCATTCTGAGTAGCTATATCTAAAACAACAACAACAACAACATATATTGTTTACTGACTATTTATGCCCGTGCCACCTTTTGGGTGGCTTAATCTTCATCAATCAATCTATCATATAGTCACTTCTCACTTAAAAATGAACCCTGTTGGTTCGAAACCTTATAAATTATAATAAAAATAATATATTATGCAGTTAAATGTTTTTTTTAAGTCAACCTACAACAAATACGGCATTTGGAGAAATCCTCATTCAATTAAGCCAAGAATACCTGAATAAGAAAATAATCACAAAAAATGCAGGTACATTCAGTGAAACATATATGGATATATCAATATATATATATATATATTGTATATATATGTATATATATATATATATATATATATATATATATATATATATATATATATATATATATATATATATATATATGCAGAATAACCACATATGAAAAATAGAAAATGCTTAACGCGTTTTCGGCTAATTCGCCTTCATCAGAGCAAAGTAGAATCCTGTAGAATTGATTCTACTTTGCTCTGATGAAGGCGAATTAGCCGAAAACGCGTTAAGCATTTTCTATTTTTCATATGTGGTTATTCTGCATACTTGGATCAGTGTTTTTGTGATCATTGTTGCATATATATATATATATATATATATAAAGTAAGATTAATAATTCTAACACGAATTTTCTCTATGTTTCTTATATTTCTTTTCACTGTTGATGGTAACTTAAAAATCAATTCTCCAAAATTCATTTTTATTTCTAGTCTTACACGACACTTGAACGCGTTTCGTAAAACTTATTATATTTTCAAAGACTTTAGTTTACACACACACAACTATAACTGAACAGAGTTTAAACAGCTTCGATATTATACCTGCATTTGGGTGAGGTGATATGTTACAACAGTTTTGGATGAGGTGAAAACAAACTTTCAACACAAGACAGAACACGAAACAATGGGTATAATATTTTGTAAGTTAAAGAGAAGAATGGAAGTAACTGCAAAGAGCCTATTGGCCCATATTTTTTGATTCTTCTATATTGGTGACGAAAATGAAATCCAAGACAACAAAACGCAACTACTTCATGCTACAAACCAATGGAGAAACAGCAACATCGACGTCTCCGTACTCGCATCGAGCAACACCTCGACACCCTCACAGATCGACATCACCTCAGCACAGAAACCAGGATAATCAAGAAACTAACAACGTTATATGGAGGACCTATGGCAATTCCACGACCAAGAGACGGCTTCCTGAACCTTGCAGGAATCAACCTCACTGAGGACCAAGTCACTCTCCTAAATCTGGGTATAAACTGTCACGTTAGGTCCAGACCAAGTGAGATGGCCCGGAAAGTGGAGTTGGAGATCCTGTTGGACGACATATTCGATCTCGAGACACAAAAGAAGGTCACCACCATAGACATCTTACAAGCTGAACTTATTGCAGAAGGAGATAAGAATCGAGGCAATTACAGAAGCACCATACTGTCCCCCGAGCTCAAAGCGGCAGATAAGAGCCTTCGTGAGAACAAGGAGATAGTCGTCAGAAGAGGTGACACGTCGCCAATATACGTCATTCTTGAAAAAGACGAATATCTGGCGATGTGGGATATTTGGGTTTGATTCTGATTAATTAATAATTAAAGTAGTAAATTAATTACGAAGGACCACCCGCTTTTAAAGTAAAGAGGGAAACTGAGAATTTCAGATCATTAGATAAAATTCTAGAAGAAACCAGTGACTATGGATATGACTAGAAAGTATGATCATAAGAATAATTAATGGGCTGTATTATTAAAACCAAACCTCAAACACCTACATTGGGGGGTTATTACTGGAGGTCAGTACGTCCAGGAATCAGTGTGGTTCGTTCACTAATTCTATTAATAATAATCTAATCCTATAATTAATGTAGAATATAATATTATTCATACAAAGAAGAACATGAATATGAGCATAATAATGAATTACAGTAAATCACACATTATGTTGAAAACATTCTGAATGTATCAAATTGCAATGTTATGAGTAAAAGAAATAAGCCTTAGCTGGTAATAGATTCCTTTAGATAACCCTGGCAGTCCTCTTAATCTCCAAGTCTGGTACACCGACGAATGACACGGTTAGCATGGAGAAGACAGCATGAGGAATTCGTCTCTCGAGCTGCAAGATAAATGACTACCAGTAGCAATTGATTTAACTACTCAATACATATTCAAGATTATTGATATCTACAGATAGAATTCTAATCACCTGTTATTAGGTGTTGTCTTGCCGCGTGACGTGCAATCACCCTGCCATTAATACACTTATAAATGATGCATCAAATAAAAGTACTTAACTGTGGGCACTGTGTAAGTATTAAGATTGCCGTAATTACGCATCTCAGGCTCCAGTGAACCTATGGATTGATGCGTTTCAAGCTGGCTGATCACGTGTCGTCAGGAACCAAGTCTAGGGGCCCTTATTTAACACCAGCACTAGTTGAAGATATTATCTGCAAGGTCGTTCACGCCTCACAGTGGCGGCTTTCATCTGTGAATAGACACACGTGTCCTATTTGCTGGACAATGGCGTCTTTTGTGAGTACGGTAAGCGTGGTTTTGCCTCCTTCTGGCTTTGCACGTGTCCGCTTCCCGACACCGTCACCGACTGAGCATGGCGTCGCGTCCCTCCCCCCACGCCGAGTCGACATTCATTACACAAATTATTGGCATGAACATTAATATTTCTCGCATTCGCGCATGAAACTCTAAAGACTGGACGGGTTTATTATTTAGAGGAACGAAATATTATTATTTAACTATTTAAGAATAGTAAAGATACAAGGGAGAGGAATTAATGTCTCCCCATAGCATTCATTGATGACGTTAACACTATCGCGAGGTAGACGGTATAATTCTAACGCTCTATTCGGCTTTTAGTTAGAGAACAATTCGTCTGCAATCAGTTGTCATACAGAA